AATTAATTGGAATATATATATATATATATATATATTTCTTGTGTATTGCAAATTCTTAAATGACAATTACAGGGTTAATTTGCTCTTTGCTCTCTGTTGGTTTAACATAAAAACATTAATCCAAGGTTACTTAGAGGTTACTTAGAGCAGTTAGTCAAATTTACAAAGTAACAATCTGGAAATAAAAGAATTTAAAAGGACACTTTAAAATCCAAGTGGTGCAGTCAAATTTATTGTAAAACATTTATAGTAATTATTTTTTTTTTGGTCTTTTTTTCATTTTTATCGGTACCAGGGATCGAACTCACGACCGCCTGCTTGTAAGGCAGGTGCTTATGCCGCTGAGCTAAACCTCCAGCCCTCGTCAGTTCTTTTTTTTTTTTTTTTTTTTTTTTTGGTCTCATTTATAGTAATTATGACAGTAAATTGCACCACACTTGGGCAGAAAGACGAAGGGTCAAAACCTATCTATTAAAATGTGTGCTAAAGAATTTTTTAAAAGCTTGTACTGGAAAATATAGAGTAAAATTTACCCCTCAGAGACTGAGAACTCTATAAAATTGATTGGACATCTTTTAATGTAGGGTAGCCTGCCAAGGGGACAATAGGTAGGGAGATGATTGGAATGGTATATTGAGTGGTAACTGGAAATGAAGGACAACAGCCGGCACATCCAAAACAACTTTTCTACATTGACTTGTGGATGAGTGTGATTCAAACTGAGCCTGCATGACTTCAACCCTGTCTGGCAATGTATTACAAAATCCTTGTGGCTCAAGCTGTGTCCAACATGAGAGATAAAAGACCTACTTCACCAGTAGCTATAAGGGTAAAGATAAAACAGCAGGGGAACAAAAAAAGTAAAATATAGGTTAAATTATTGGGCTCATACATAAGATCCCATGCATATGGGCTAAAGACAAACCCCAGAGCTGACTGTAAGTCAAACACCAGTGATAGTGAAATTAAAGCCAGAGGCAATTCCAGTTAGAGTTCAACAATACCTCCTTTTCCTGGAAGCCATGCAAGGCATTCAAGAACATTTAAAATGGCTCTTAGATCATGGATTTTTAAACAGATGACAGTACTCCTGAAACATCTACTTTTGCCAGGACATAAGCTGGGAATAATACATAGGCCAGTACAAGATTTTCGCGTGCAAATCAGTCTACTGAGGCTATTTACCCAATGGTGCCAAATCCATACACACTGATGAGACTCTCCAACAAGTGCTACCTAATTTAACTGCCTAGACTTAATGGATGCTTTTTTCTCTCTCTGCTTTATATTAGTTAGCCTATCTTAGTATTTCAATGGGAAGATCCTGTTATAGGCATAAAGAAACCACTAATCTGGACTAGGATTTCCCAAGTGTTCAGAAACTCCCCTTACATCTCTGGAAAGGTGCTAGGCAGTGATTGTAAAGATTTCATCACACCAGGAACCACCACTACCAGGACATAGAATCCTGGATCTTTTGTTGGCATACTTGTCAAAACAGTTAGACTCTAACTCTAGGTTGGTTTTTGTGCTTCAGGGCCCTCACTGACACTGCCTTATTTGTGCAGGAAGCTAATGAGTTGACTTTGGGAGAAATCAACAATCCTAATACCACATTCAATTATAACCTTAATAAACCAGGGACGGGGGCACCATTGGCTATTTAACCTGAAGATGACTCAGTATCAGAGGCTTTTATGTACAAATCCTCACATAACTCTAGAGATCATAAACACTCAACTCAGTCACTTTGCTTCCCAGTCAAATGGATTTCCTTCCATTCATGACTGTATAAAAATTGTAGACAAAGTATTCTCAAGCTGAGGAGACCTTACACAGTACCCTGTTGTACACAAAAAGGTTAAGTATTTCACAGACAGGAGTAGTTTTGTATTGGAAGGAGTCCAGCTGGGAAGTATACATGGTAGTGATGATAAATTCTGTGGTAGAGGCACAGCCTCTGCCTACCAGAACCTTACCGTAAAGGCTGAGCTAACTCTTTTGACAAGGGCCCCTTTACTAGTTAAAAACAAAAAAGGTTAACATCTATACTAATTATAAGTATGTCTTTGCCACACTACATGTGCATGGAACTATATACAGGGAGAGAGGAGTTCTGAATCTGGAGGGGAAGATTAACCACAAAAAATTTTTGTCAGCTCCTAGATGCCACATGAACACCAGGAAAAGAGCCTGTTACACACTACAGGGGACATCAATGGACTGGTACAATAGAAGGGAAAAAACAGAAAAAAAATAGGCCTCTACAGCAGCCCCACAATCCAAAAGAAGGGTCCTGGCCTTGCCCCTCATCCCAGAATCCCTACTCCTAGAAATCCCAAACCATACTTCAATTAAACAGACACAGTTTAACTGGGAGCCAGGGGCTTATATCAAGAAAAGATAAATATTCTCTTGATGGGAGACTGGTTATCCCTAAAATGATGACCCCTAAGTTTGTGAGGCAATTCCATCAAGGGTCTCACATGGAAAAAGGATACTAGAGATGTCACTAAGTCATTATTACTGCATATCAGAGCTTACCACCATCACTTTTGCTGTTTGCAAACAATGCTTAATCTGTATACAGAAAACCCAAACCAAAGGCCACAGGTCCCATGGTATCTAAGACGCATGTGCCACTGCTTATAAAAACTTGCTTGTAGACTTCAATGAACTGCCCCAACCAGGAGGTTATTTGTAAATGTTAGTGCCAGTTTTCACTTTGCCAGAATGTGTTGAAGCTCTCCCCACCCATAGAAAAGACACTAAAAGTGAGAAAGTTGCTGTTAAAGGATATCATCTCAAGTTTCAGATTGCCCCTAATTTTGGGAATCAGACAATGGACAAACATTTGTGGATGAGATAGTCTAGAATTTCACAAGGATGTTAAAAGTAAAATAAAAATTACAGACAGCCTCTTGTCCTGTGATTACATATTTGATGGGCTTAACAAAGGATACCCTAATAGCCTATGTTCCAAGCCTCTCCAGAAGACTGTATTTCCTTTTTGTTTTGATATGGGGGGGTACCAACTAGTCCCTTTTCATAGTTCACACAGTTTTGTTTTGATTGATTGTTTGTTTTTTTGTTTTAGTTACACAGTTTTATTGGGTGATGTCTGTGATCTCTTTCCCAAGACAGACTGCACATAACATGACTACAGATAGGTTGAGGTATGCTGCCTGCCATGCTTCAAAATATAAGGAAATGGCCCTTCTGTGGTTTGGGGAAACATTGATTCTATTAAGAAATCCATTAACCCCTGCTTTATTTTATTCCTGTATGAACCTTAAACCAGGTTTTCTGGGAAGAAGATCAGAGGTCATAGCTGACATAAGGTTGATATTTTTCCTGGGTCACAAACTGAGTAACCAGCTGGCTTGGTTATTAGTGCCAGTTCCCTAGTCGGGGCATCAGCTTTATAATAACTGGTGGAAAAATGCACCACCACTCAAACTGATGGCTCATACTAGATACCAACCTCTGCCTAATGGAGAACTGCCACTCTGAGATAAAAGATGTTGAGAGTGATGTTCTCTATTAAAAGTTCGCTTATAGAAAGCATCAAAAAGGGGAATAAAGCAGACCTCAGAGAGACACAGCCTCTGTCCCTCTGTAAAATCCCAGCTCCAGGCAAGTAACCCCTCCAATAATCCCTCTCTCAGGAATGAGAATTTTCACTTTCTCACCATAGTCCTGTACTTTTCTGCTACTGGAGACACTTCAAGCAGTACTTTCCTGAGAATCTCTTCCCTTAGAGGGACAATACTGGGTACCATGACCGATAAAACTAACAAATGGATTACAAACGAGCTTTGCAGCATCCTGACATCCTGAGATGCACAGGATATGTCTTCTTTTCAAGCTTAAAACAGGGTTATCGGCTAGGATAAATAGCTGCCTTCATTCTGCTTCTGCCTCTCTACTTCCTCGACATTACAAATTGTGTAAAAGAAGACCTTTCCTTGGTTTGGGGCCCAGCACGAGTTTGAATATTTCCAGTGGCTGGGATAGTGCACCATTAAAGAATCATTTTGAAAATCCCTTCTCTTGGAAATTCTGCAGCAGGAGCTTTAAAATCAAAACCAGGTGTTGAATCGCATAGCTTCCCCTTAATACTGCTGAAGATAGATGCAGGGGTAACGAAGTACACAAACATATGCCCATGGTACCTCTACTGACACTTGGGCACAGTCAAATGCATCATGACTGCACTTCAAATTTTAGGTCTCTACTATTCTGCTTCACATTTTCATATGAGGGATCACCAGATCTGATCCACCATCACTCAGGCCCTGCCTGCCTCCACACACTATACCAATAGTCCTATTTTGCTGTGAGTCTCCCACACTGGCTCAGTGCCTCTTTGGAAGCTACTCCTCTGAAGAGTGTAGTTGTGAGTAAAACAGGGCCTTGGTCCCTTCTGTACTTAGTCAATCATATTAAGATATTGGGGGTTGTATACATACACCATCATCCAAAAGAAGCAGGTCCCTCAAGTAAGACTCTCTCCTCTCTCTCTTCTTGTTCTTCTTCTTCTTCTTCTTTCTTTCTTTCTTTCTTTTTTTCTTTCTTTCTTTCTTCTTAACTTAGAAAACTACTTTTGTGCCCTCTACAGTTTTAGATCCATTATGATTCATCAGTCTTTGGTGATCTTCCTAGTCAAAGACTTTTAAAATCAAAACAAATATTTTGCTCTCTTTTGAGACCTTATCTCTTTAGGATAAAACTTTTTTCAGACTTTATTTTAAAAGTCAAAGTGAAAGATAAAGTCTTCTTTTGTGCTCACTCTTGCCAATCTCTCAGCAGCAATAGATATCTAATGCAGTAAAAAAGAGAACAATAAAGCAGGAAAAACTCCAGAAATTAAATTTAAAATTTCTCAATATGAGACTTTTATTTTACTATTATCATATGAATTAAACAGAGCCTGAACTGAGGCTGATACTGGACAAGCAACAGTCCTAGGTCTGTGAAGTCACAGCTGAGGTCACAGAGTGCTGGGGCAGGAAGGTAATAACGGGGCAGGACTGCTGTGATATGGGCTTAGTGAGAGGAAAGTGTTAGAGGGTCAGGAACTGACCACAGTGTGATTTGAGTATCCCAGCCAGGTAAGCTGACTTGGTTCCTAACTGGAATTTATAAGTGGGAAAGGGTGGAATGGGAAAAGTGGTAGAGAAACTTCTCAAAGGAACAATTTGTCTCAACTTGGTCACTACGTCAGCCTTTCAGTCATTGGTGCTTTTGACAGTATCAGCTACAAGGGTTTCCAAGCTCCTTTACAAGGCTAGAGCTGAATGATCTCCAGCCTATAGTCCTATCCTTAGTAGACTGTGAATATATTGACTGTGAAGTGGGATGGGGTGTGGATCTATTATCTTTAATTCAGTATCCTTTACTTCATACTTCTGCCTCGGGGTCCAATGGGGAAAGTTGTTGACCAGAGGCTCCTGGACTCTGAGGCAAGAGTATGAAGTAATGAACACTGAGTTGAAGATCAGATATATGTTTGCTTAAGTTATTAAGGAGATTTTACTTAGAACAAATCCTCTTACCCCCATCTTTCTTTATACATATGTATACACATATAATACAACACACACACACACACACACACACACACACACACACAGAGAGAGAGAGAGACCCATTCAAAACACAGATGCTTTCTGAATGACAAAAACCCAGCCAGAACTGCTTGTCCACTGGGTAAGTGCTTTTGTTTTCTATCTCCCCTTGTTTATTCTAGGACCTGGAGCTATTTCCATCTTTAGTTCCAGAGTCCTTGGTTTTGTGCAAGAACAAATGGAAAAGCATCCTCACCAGAATCACGAACAAAAGACAAGCATGACATCCATACAGCGGAAAAAGTAAGTGGGGTTAATAATGACATTCAAGAAACCATATACTGGGTATTTTCTGCAGCAGAACTATGGTCCCCTGTCTCCCTGCTCTTCATCTGGCAGTACTTATTCCCAGGTGGGGTATGTGAAGGAATTTCATGTGTTTCTTCTCTGTTTCTTCAGTGCAGTGAGATAATACTGAGTCTCTGTAACTGTGACTTAAAACACAACATCAATTACAATTCTTCTAGGAATTAGTTGACTGATACATCCCAAGAACACTTACTCATTTTAGAGCAAATATAAATTAAAACCAGCTGTCTAAAACCATAGCTCATTGAATCAGGGTTGTAAAAACAGCCAGAAACAATTACCTGAGGCTAATTATGAGCTCCAGAAGTATTAGCCATTGTCAAGAAAAAAGAGAATTTCTGTGAGCTTACAGGTCAAGAAAGCTTCAGAAAGTAATTGGAATTTGTATTAAGCCTCCAAAGTATGCAGCAGATGTTCTGACATAAGGGTTTTAGGAATTAGGAAAGACAAAGTTTAAAGTTTTTTCTAAATTTCTTGGCTACCTCTCATTACTTAAATGCTCAGAATGGTTAACTGGGCCTTGAGTCTAAGAACCAGTAAGGAACTGAGAACTCGGACGCATGGGAAACAATAGGAACCTGCTTTAAAAATATGCATTGTCTCCTAGACAGCTGCAGGACTCTGAAAGAGAAACAGTAAATACTGGAATCTTATAGTTCTATGTGAAAAGGCACCATAAACTACACCACAGCCCCCAACTTCTTTGCTGATTAACAGGTGGTTTTTAAAGTATAAGTAGGAAAGATTGTACAAATAACACTAAAACTAATAATGTTAAAATTAACTTAGTTATAAAGACTTTCATATAACCCTCCCCTGAAAGCCTCTGGATAAAAACTATTCCTTTTGTTTTAGAAAAAAGGAAACATTCATACAGGCAAAAAGCCTTGCTGAAACTCCTATAATGGGAACAACTTGAGGCTGAAATTCAAATCTTTCTATCCCTAAAATTCCAAATTCTTACCAAAATGTAGTCTTCCAGCAACTCAGCTATACAACAATGGGGGCACAATAGCATGGTTTTGTTTTGGGGTAGGGGTGTTTGTTTGTTTGTTTGTTTGTTTTTGTATTTTGAGTATTTCAAAGTAGATTGAAATCTATCCCACCTGAAATGAAATACAAACTTTCCTATTATGGTTACTAAGTTTATCACAGCCTTGGTTTGTAGACACCTTAGCCTCTTAAGGTAATAACCTATCCTTCCTTCAGTTTTTTCCCAATCCCCTGACTTCCTTTGGCCTGAGACCTCTGCACAGTCTACATCTGGCCAGGCAATCCAGGCTGGGTTTCTTCAGGATCCACTAGCATGGATCTTTTCTCCTCCTTCCTGTCACCACATACACACATAATACACATACGACACACACACCGATGCCCCATGTGACCCATTTTAATTCCTCCCCTTTCTTCTAGTGTTCTCCCTAGCCAGTATCCAACTACTCTGTCCCCCAGATGATTTCACACTGATTCTCATAGTATTTGGAAATAAGAGCTTCTTTGTACTATGCAGAATAAACAAGATATTTCACCTGCTTCTTGAGAATTCCATCCCATCAAGAGGTCATGAGAATACTTTGTAGGAACAAAAAAGAAGCAGTTTGATCATTGGATATACTCTATCCCCACAACAGGAATCGGTAGTTTGACAGGCCAGCCAGAATGAAGGTAGGAAGTAGATACAACTAGACAGGCAAGAGAATGGTACAGTTTCATGATCGTGACCATCACTTTCACCCCCTTTTGTTTTTGTACCAGGAATCACACGCAAGACCTCACACTTGACAGGCAAGTGCTGTGTTGCTGAGCTCTATCCTTTATGCTTTCAAATTTCCAAAGTTCTATCGTAATAGTCAATATATTAGGAAAATAAAGCTACAAGTCCTCGAATAGGAAAGATGGAATCCTGGCTATTTTTCCTGAAACTTTAGTATAGAAATCTCAAGAATTCCTGACAAGATTGTAAAGTTAATTTGGGGGAAGTGTTTAGCTATCTGCTCTTCAACACATTTCTATCATCCTTTTTTCCAGCACCTCCAAGGAAGATGCAGTGATACTGCAGGTGGGTTAAATATCCAAACACATCTCGTTCCTTTGGGAGTCTTGGTTCCTGGAGCTAGAGATGAGCCTGAGACAGGAAGGCACAGAGGGTTTGGGCTTTGTGGTTAAGGGTGTTTGACCAGCTGGTAGGTCATTGTGTACCAACACCAGCTCCAATTCCAAAGCCACTTTTATATCAGATGATTATAGAGTCAGGAAAGCTCTGTGAGTATTGATAAAGAGGTAAACATATAGTTTCATTCGTACCTGTCCCTCAAGCTAGATGAAGAGATAAGTAGGAGATATGCGCTAAAAGTGACCCAGAGTAGGACTGAAAGAGACTTTGGGCTTTGTGAAAAATAGAGCGGCTTCAAGGTCCATCTCAATGTGTCTTTTGTTCCACCATTTCCTCAGTGTCAAATTAGATTATCAGAGTTAGTTTAAAATTCGCAGGATTTCTGTCTTATTTCAACAGAAAAGACAAGAAACAATCACCAAAACTCTGTGGGACCAGGTGAGTAGAGAGGGATTTTTTTTATGTACAATGGTGATATGTGAAAGAAAGTTTAAGAGTAGATTCTTTCCCTTCCCTGGAGCAGCTTGCTGGTTGATGGTGAAAGATTGCTATCCTGCCTCCCATCCTGTTCTATTACCCATTTAGTCCCAGGCCTTAGAACATCATGTCCCTGTATCTCTGCAGCATATCTGACACCCAACTACTTGAGGCTATCTTGAATCTTGTTTGTTTGAAGTCTGCTTTAATAAAGACTTCACAGTTTTCAGTGACTGCCACAGACTTGAAAGCACAGACCCGTCTTTCTCACAGGTTCAGTGTGATAGCTGTGCTGTGATCCCTACAGTTAAGTCTGAAATGTCTATGCTTTTCTAAGCCATGTTGTCAATTATTCACCACCTCTGTGAAAGTTTAGATTAAAACTCAGCCTGGAGGAGAAAGTTCCAGGTGAACTCCAGTTCTATTTTAATTTCTTTCTCCTCCACACTCTATGAAGCAGTCAGATGGAACTCCTGGGGGGAAAATCTTCAAAGTAAGGATGTTTTTAGAACAAAAAGTACGACTTGTCTGTGCAGCAAAAGAATTTATCATTCTGGGGATACTGGCCACTTTTTACTACAAAAGTGTGAGAAAAAAACAGCACATTATGGATCTGAACTTTGGATATAAAGAATTGTTTCTCTTGTGTTAAGAAAAAAGACTTTATTCTACTTCAAGGGACTTTTGCTTTAGGAACTAGATGAAATCATTTAAATTGGTTTAAAAAGATCCAGTCAAAAAATATCTTCCTGGATGGAAGACAGTTGACTCATATGTTGCATAATGAATGACTTAATTGAATCCTATGATGACAGTATTTGAGGCCTTGAAAATTATAAGTTTAATATGCAAATAGACTCATTTAGTTATCAATAGGAACCTATTGCCTCAGTCTTTCAAGAAAACCAATGCCATGAGCATTAAGCCTCAGGATCTATATTTTTAAAATTTTTTTATTTTAAAGAGATTAAGATAAAAGAGGACATAACAAAGCAGATCAGAACAGATCAATTTAACCAACACAGTATTTCACCACAAGACAATCTGATATAAGAGTAGCTACCATAATGTATCTTTCCTTGAAATAGTTGAGCATACCTTCATACACAATAATATATAAGACATAACAAAATAATATAAAACCATTAAAGGGAATAAAAATATTACAAAGCATTCAGAACCAAATAACAGAAAATAAACAATGGTTACTACATTACCTCATTGTCCATAAAAAATTTGTTTATACTACCGCACATAATAAAATCCAATAAGATAGAACATGATAGAACCAATGGAAACAGAAGAACAAAAGTATGGTAGGACTTCAAAACAAGATGATATTAAATCAGCATTGGATGGATATTGTTTTCTTCAAAATAGCTGTTCATACCATCACAGATAATAAAATCAAGCAACCCAGGATAAAATCATTCCAACTAACAAATGGCTTCAAAGCAATATAACAGGAAATCATGATTGCCATAAAATTTTATGTATGCTTACCAATTCTTACACTAGAGAGACTTTACGGTATTAATACATATGAGTTTGATTTATTTTGCTGAGGAGTATGATCTCAAGTTGTGTCTGTTTATTTATAAATATCTCAGGGTGATCATTCTTTATAGCTGAGTAGTACTCCATTGTATAAAAATACCACAACTTTTTATCCATTCTTCAGTTGTTGGACACTTAGGTTGTTTCTAGTATCTGGCTATTACAACTTGTACTGCTATAAACACAGGTGCACATATATCACTACAGTATGATGTTTTCAGTTCTTTTGAGAATATGCCTTGAAGCGGAATACCTAGACCTTCCAATCCCAGGTTTGGAGAAACCTGCAGACTGACCTCCATAATGGCTACACTAGTCTACACTCCCAACAACAGTGCAGGAGAGTTCCTTTTTCCCTGTAGCCTCTCCAGCATTTGTTGTTGGGAGATTTCTGATCCTGGCCATTCTTTCTGGAGTGAGATAGAATCTCAGTGTGGCTTTAATCTGCATTTCTGTAATGACTAATGATGGTGAACATTTTTTCATGTATTTATTTGCCATTTGTATTTCTTCATCTGAGAACTGCATATTCATCTTAGATGCCCATTTTTGGATTGGGTCTTTTGATTTCAGAGGTCTGATTTTTTTAATTCTTTATGTGTTTTAGAGAGAAGACCTTTGTCTGAGGGATAGTTCACTAAGATTTTTTTTCCAGTTTGTGGGTTTTCTTTTCACTATACTGGAGATTTTTTTTTTATTAGTACCAGGGATCGAACTCATGACCACACACTTGCAAGGCAGGCACTTATGCCGCTGAGCTAAATCCCCAGCCCTGGAGATTTCTTTTGACATGCAGAAACTTTTTAATAAAATATGATCCCAGTTATTGATTCTCAGAAGTATTTCCCGTGTGGTTTGATTCCTATTCATGAATTTTATACCTACCCCTATATTTTCAAGATATTTACCCAAATTGTCTTCCAAAAAATTTAGTGTTTCTGTTTTAATATTCAGATTTTTTATCTACTTAGATTTTAATTTAGTACATGGTGATAGGCATGGGGTCTAGTTTTAGTTTTCAGCATAGAGAGCCAGTTTTTCTAGCACCATTTATTAAAGAGACTGCTGTTCTTCTAGTAAACATGTTTGGCCCCTTTATCAAAGATAAGGTGGCTGAGTGTGTTTGTAGTTGTGGTTGTATCTTCTAATCTATTCCATTGATCTTCAGATCTGTTTTTATTCCAGGATCGTGTTGATTTTATTACAGTTGACTTGTAGCATAACCTCAAGTCAGGGATTGTGATGCATCCTGCTTTGCCTTCGCTGTCCCAGAATTGCCTTTGCTATTTTAAGTCTCTTTTGGCTCCAGATGAATTTTAGCAGTGATTTCTGTAGATTTATGAGATATGTTGATGGTATTTTCATTGGGATTGCTTTGAATCTGTATAACAGTTTTGGGAGAATGGCCATTTTCACAATATTTATTTTTCCTATTATGAACAAGGGATGTCTTTCCATTTTCTGAGATCTCTTCAATTTCTTTTTTCAGGGCATTATAATTTTCCCTGTATAGATCTTTTACTTCTTTTGTGAGATTAATTCCTAAATATTTCTCTCTTTTTTTGGATGCTAGTATGAAGGGTGTGGCTACTTTTATTTCTCAGTGATTTTGTTGTTAGTGTATAAGAATGCTATTGATTTTTGAGTATTGATTTTTTATCGAGCTACATTGCTGAATTTATTTATTATATATAGGAGTCTTTCAATGGAGTTTTGGGGGTCTTCTATGTAGAGTATCATGTCATCCACAAATAATGATAATTTAACTTCTTCTTTTCCTATCTTTACCCCTTTTATTTCTCTCTCTTGTTTAATTGCTCTGGCTAGTATTTCCAGTGCTATGTTGAATAGGAGCAGTGATGAGGGACATCTTTGTCTTGTGCCTGATTTTAAGGTAAAGGCCTTCCGTTTTTACCCAGTTAATATGATGCTGGCTGTTGGTTTGTCATGGATGGCCTTAATCATATTGAGGTAAAGATAATCTATTCCAATTTTCTGTAAGGTTCTTATCATGAATGAATGTTGTACCTTATCAAAAGCTTTTTCTGCATCTATAGAAATGATCATGTGATTCTTACTGTTGGCTCTATTGATATGGTGGATTACATTTATTGATTTATGCATGTAGAACCATCTCTGAATGCCTGGAATGAATCCTACTTGGTCATAGTATACAATCTTCTTGATGATTTGCTGCATCCTGTTAGCCAATATTTTACTGAGGATTTTTGCATCAGGAAGATTGGCCTGTAGTTCTCCTTTTTGGTTGGGTCTTTTTCAGGTTTTAGTACTAGAGTAATATTTGCTTCCAGGAATGACTTAGGAAGAATTGCTTCCCTTTCCAATTCATTTAAGATTTTGAGGAGTGTCAGCATCAAGCCTTCTTTGTATTCCTTGTAGAATTCCGCAATGAATCCATCTGTGCTTGGGCTCTTCTTTGTAGATCAGGACTTACTATATTTTCAATTTCATTAATAGAAATTGGGTTATTCAGCAGTGTTACATCTTCTTGACCCAGCCTTGGTAGTTCATATGTTTCTAGAAATCTGTCCATTTCTTCTGTGTTATCGAACCTATGAGAGTAGAGGTTTTTGAAACAGGTGAGGATCTTCTGTATTTCCACAGAGTCTTTAGTGATTTCACCTTTTTCATTCCCTATTGCATGAAATTGAGCTTTTTCTTTCCTTTTTTAAAATAAGGTTGATGAGGGGCTTATCAATTTTGTTCATTCTTTCAAAGAACCAACTCTTTGATTCATTGATTCTTTGGATTGTTTTCTTAGTCGCTATTGCATTAATTTCTGCTCTGATTTTTATAATTTTCTCCCTTCTTTTGGTTTTGGGCTTGACTTGCTCTTTTTTTTCTAGATGTTTGAGGTGTAGCATCAGTTTTTTATTTGTATTTGCTCTGTTTTCCTGATGTGGCAACTCAGTGCAATAAATTTTCCTCTGAGGAATGTTTTCATTGCATCCCACACTTTCTGGTAAGTCATATTTGTATTTTCATTTTCTTGTAGTTATTGTTTAATTTCTTCTTTAATTTCTCCTGTAAGCCAATGATTCCTCAGGAGTGTTTTATTCAATTTTCATGTATTTGTGGGGAGGGGTTACAGTTTCTTTTATCATTAATTTCTAGTTTCATGGCACTATGATCTGATAACATGCATGGGATAATTTAAATTCTTTTGCATTTACTTAAATATACTCTGTGGGCTAGTATACGGTCTGTTATAGAGACTGTCACATGTACGGCTGGGAAGAATGTATATTCTGATGCTATTGGATGGAATATTCTATTTATGTCTATCAAGTCCATTTGTTCACAGGTGTGATTCAGTTCTGCTATATCTTTGCTGATTTTCTGTATGGCTGTCTGTCCCCTGAGGTCAATGGTGTATTAAGGTCTCCTGTTATAATTGTGTTATTGCTTATTTGATTTTTCATTTCTATTAATACTTGCTTTGTATAGTTGGCTCTGGAATTTGTGTTCATATATATTTAAGATTATTATCTCTTCCTCTTGAACTTTTCCTCTAAGCAGTATGTAGTAACCTTCTTTATCTCTTTGGGTCATTCTTGGTTTGAACTTCACATTGTCTTCAAACAGAATAGCTACCCTCACTTTTTTCTTTTTTTTTTTGGTTCCTGTTGCATGAAGTATTGTTGTCTATCCTTATCTTTCAGTCTGTGAGTTTCCTTTTGAGTTAGATGGGTTTCTTATAGACAGCATATGCTTAAATGTTGTTTCTTGATCCATTCTGCCAGTCTGTTTGTTTTAATTGTTGAATTGAGACCATTTACATTAATGGTTAATAACTGCTCTGTATTGATTTATTGTTGACATTTTTTCTTTCTAATGTTGAATCTTTAACTTTCCATTCTGTTTGTCTGCCTTGCCTAGTGATTTTTTCCTATGTGTATCTAAACTGTCTTCCAGTATTCTTTGCAGAATTAGCTTGGTGATCATGAAGTTCTTCAGCTGTTGTTTGTCATGAAAATATCTTATTTCTCCAACCATTTTGAAGGTCAGTTTTGCGAGGTACATTAGTCAAGGTTGGAAATCATTTTCCTTTAGGATCTGAAATACTTCACTCCATGCTCTTCTTGACTTCATTGTTTGTGTTGAGAAGTCTGCTGTGATTCTGATGGTTTTTCCTGTATAGGTGATCTGTCTTTTGTCTCTAACAGCTTTTAATATTCTATTCTTACGTTGTATTACTGGGATGGTGATTATTATGTGTCTGGGTGTGGCTTTATTTTAGTTTTGGCTATTTGGATTTCTATATGCTTCCTTAGTCCTAATGTCAGTTTCCTTTCTCATGTTCGGGAAATTTTCAGCTGTTACTTCTGTAAATAGCTTCTTGATATCATTTGTTTTGTCCCTTCTTTTTCATTTATCCCTATCCATCTTACGTTGTTTTTCTTTGCATCATCTTGCAGCTGTTGAATTGTTATTTCCTGACTCCTTGTTATTTTAAAAAGATCTTTCCTTTCCTGTTCACTAGCTGCGATATTGTCTTCGAGGTCTGAAATTCTATCTTCACTTTCGTTGAGGCAGTTTTCACAACTTTCAATGGAATCTTTGATTTCCTGTTTATCTCTTTGAATCTGCTTCATGTATTCTGTTTGTTTCTTACACTGTTCATCTAGGGAGTCTATCTTTTTGTTTTGCTCCTCTAATTTTTTAACTATGTCTTCTTTAGATGTGTTCAGCATCTCTTTTATTACTTTTATCATTTCTTCTTTTACCTGGGAGATTATTTCTAGTTTGAATTCCTTTTAAGCTACCAGAGTTGCTTCTCTATTTTAGTTGCTATTATTTCAGGTATTTCAGGTGTATGGCATTGTCTTAATTACTTTTTACTCATCACTGAGACAAAATACCTGAAGCCCAAAGCTGGGAAAGGAAAGGTTTATTTCTTATAGTTTTTAGAGGTTTCAGTCCACACTCAGTTGGCTCCAAGGCAGGCGGGCCTGGCTGATCGCAGTTCATGGCGACTGCCAACAGCAAGCTCAAACCAGCAAAGAGAAAGACACACCTTCTTCCTGCCATTACATCACATCCTGGCTCCACCCCTATGTGGATGGAGCACTGACACCATCAATCCAAGCACTACACAATGAACCATCACAAGTGAACAATGCAAACTCATGAGGCCTGGGGGACACAAACATAAACCATGACAGGCATATATTTCCTTCTTTGTACATGACTCCTAGGCTTTCTTGGGATGGGCTGGAGGTTTGACATTGCATTTTGGTCTTTCGTTTTGTCATTTTCCTATGTTTCCCTGTTTCAAGTATTGTTCCATGTTTTCCCCTGCACATGTTAGAAATCATCTTCTATGCCCTCAGCTCCCAGGACTGAATGGAGGTTGTTGAGTGTAGTCCAGTCAGACCCACAGGACCTCTTATACCACCTCCAGTGTTCCAGGAAGCTGGGCGGGCTCCTAACCACTGTGAATGATGTTCCAAATCTCTCCCCACGTAAGGACCAATGTGTTGGAACTCATTTCACATGCCCTCGACTCCCCTGATTTAAGAAGTTCCCTGGGCATAATCTAGTCAGGCCACAAAAACCTCTCAAGCCTAATCTAGTGTGGCTGGAAGCTGGGCAGGTTCTTGACCACTGAGAGTGATGTTTTTAAACTTTTCCAGGACCCCGCCAGTGTGCAGGAACTCATCTCAGCATGCAGCCCAAGTCCCTGGATTGAAAGAAGGTCACTGGGCATGGTGCAGGCAGACCCAAAACCTGCAGAGCCCAGTCTAGTGTGGCTGGGAGCTGGGTGGATCCTTGACCACTGGGAGCGATAATCTTAAACTCTATTGGGGCTCGGGATGGTGTGCAGGAACTCACCTCCTCAGGATCTATATTATGTTAAGCCCTGATTTTAAAATTTGATTCCTAAAATGTATTTAAAATAGACTTAAATCCAATGAATGTCTGAATAATATCTCAGATTAAAGTTGATGACTTGTTCTCTTTGAAAAAATGTCCTTGATTTCCCAGATATCTTAAAATGACAAGGTAGCCAATGCTCAAGAGGAAACTGTGTAGTTTATGTTTGAGTGAGTACAGAAGCAAGATATGCTCATCAGGTAGCCAAAACAAAAACTTGGAGGACACAGAACACAGATGTTTACTCAGTTTCTAAGAGAACTTCTCACAGATCTCAATTACTAAAAATCCCAATCTTGATATTTTGGTTACATGTATTATACATTTAAACTCTTGGCAAGAGTTGATAATTAAAGGATAATGAGTCACTTTTGAATTTATAGTACATTTATCACATGGAACCAAGCAGAAAATGACAGTTCACTAAATCAATGACTACAGCTAAAAAAACTTTATAAAAATTATATATAAATATTAGAAAAGGTGCAATTCCTCACAGTCTTTCCTATAAGTTCCTACTAAGCAATATCATACTAAGTGAGTACTGTGGCCAAATTTTTATTCTCTTATTTTCAGCAACTTAAAAGTTTTACAGAAGGAAGTAACCTTAACTATAAGGAATTAGCATTACTATCTCATACTCTAACATTACTGTATTAGTTAAAAGTGAATTTCTTGCATAAAGATCAAAGATTATCCTGCTGAGAACTGAAAATATAACTAACCAGATACAAAGACTTACTGAAAAGTTATAAATTGATAATTGATACACTCTACTCCTTTAACTATTCATTTTTCATATGCACTCTTATAGACAAATTGAAACCCCGAATATCTACATATTGTATTTCCACCAAGTAAAATACAGTTGTCTATTTTAAAGTTATTTCCCTTTTCTCCAACTATTACTGTATCTACCCATGCATATATATATATATATATATATAGTCATTCAGCCTTATAAGAAACTGCCAGAACTTCTTCCAAAGTTGTCTGTATGATTTCATATCCCCTCCAATAACAAATGAGAATTTCAGCTGCTCCATATCCTAACCAACATTCAGTACTGTCCTCCAGTATATCAAAACCTAAATATAACTAAATATTCATTTTAATAACTATGCATAGCTTCAGAGAAAGGACAAATTTTAAAAATTAAGTACAATAGTAGGCCTATTTAGACATTCTGTCAAAACTCAGCCCCCCCTTAAATAAATACTTCACTGTATTTCACTAATTTACCAAATGAAGAAGTGGAAACCAAGAAATATGTGTAGAGTGGAAGTCAATGAGAGTTTATTGCTGGAGATAGAAAGCAATACTCCATACCCAAATAGCTAGATCAAATAACTAGATTCTCATATAAAATCTATTTGATCAAATGAAATCTATAATATTAATTTTTATATATTTTTGTCTTCTTACAGGTGCTGTCAGCTTTTAAGGATATACAAAAGGAGGTAAACTTAAACTTTGATTCTCTAAATTTCCTAGCTCATCATCTTCCTGAATCCCATCTTTATTTCCTACTGAGATGATGACTGAATGAAGCCTTATCTTTATTTATCTTAGTGATTTATTCCTTTAAAAGTATCATTGATATGTCTGTTCAGACAACTAAAGCAAAAAGAACCCTAATAATTCCCTTGAGGAACTCTGATGATCTATAGATACAATTACACTTACCATAATTTCTCTCAGGTATGTAGCTTTTCAAAATGCTGAGAAGTGACCAAATTGAAGGGAGTACACAATCAATATTTTAAAATACTTTGTTGGGTAAGTAAGTTTATTAAATGCAGGAAAGTACAAACTAAAGAGCAAGGCTTCAGAGTAAACAGAAATGATTCTCTTTCTCTGCCCTTACTCTGTACAGATTTCAGTCTCTTCTAAATACTGATCAAATATTTAAATAATATCATCAAACATACACTACATTGTTGGTCTTTCAAAGATACTGAGGTTTCTTTGTTGTGGTACTGGGAAATGAACCCAGGGCCTTCTCACTGAGCAATATCCTGAAATCTTTTTATTTTTTATTTCAAGATTGTGTCTTACTAAATCATTAAGTTGCTCAAACTAGGCCCAAACTTTCTATCTTGCCTCAGCTATTCAGCATAGTATGATTACAGACATGAACCACTATGCCTGTTTATGCTGTTATTATATTAACTTCCTCAATGTCACATTAAACCACTATTGCAAGTTTTTTGCTTTCCGATATAGTGAAGAGAAATAGACACTTTCTCTACACAATTACTAATGGCAGACTGTTTCCATAGGCTATAAAAAGAGGAAAGCATGTAATTTAGAGTGGGACCACACAAATATCATAAAACCAGGACAAACAGGAAACTTCTGTACAGATTTCTTTTTGTTTCCCTGAGTATAAGCATAATTTCGTTAAAACTAAAATCTAAATATAATATTAGCTCCCTGAAATTTTTGGAAAAGTATCTCTCTCTTCCTAGTTGGGGAAAAATAATGGACAAACAGATTGAGAAGTTCTCTCTTTCACTATCTGGATCACTTTTGGCCTTAGAGCTTAGCCTTTTTCTATGGTCCAAGTTACCGTGTCACTGTAGTCTGTTAGGGCATCTGGGACTTCCTCAGAAAGATTACAGCAGCCTTTGCCTCCATCTACCTGTAGGTGTAAGGGGCACTAAGTAGAGATCAGAAGCTTGAAATTTTCAAACAAGTCTTGCCTGTGTGGTCAAGATGCCTCCACTTACCAGAACATTGGTCTCCTTCTGTCATAGTTTCTTCAGGAAGAACTTAAGTGAGCTAGTGGAAAGAGAGCTGCCCAGAAGTGTGTCTTGTATGTGGTGACTCCCAGCCACTGGCTCATGTGATAGTTTCACTGAGGGCTGAAAATCAGCTACTTACTCCAAAGTGAATGATGAAGATTCTTTAAAAGGTTCTTCAAAGTCGTTCAAAGTCCCTATTGAAAACCACTGGAGACTCAGAAAGGAAACTGAGAGTCCAAAAAAAAGCCATATAGAAAGGGTGAGTTAATTTTGAGTAGTTAAGGATATAAGTGATGAACTATGTGTCTCCATGCTTAAGGATTGACAGCTTGCTCCTATATATTTATTACTTCATTATGCAACATGTGTAGCACATAAACTGTATGCAGAGAATTATCTTCAATGTTTGGTTTGAGAGATACAAATACAATACAAATTCTGTTTTCAGGAAATACAGAATTACGTTCCATTCACAAGAATCCCATGGTTCCCAAGACATCTCTATATATGCCAAGCCTATAGCTCATGTATTCTGAAATCCCAGAGACAAGTCTCTTGAGTTTCTGATTTCCTGAATTTTCTTTATTTTTCAGCTGCAGGAAGATGCTCGAATTCGAGGTAAATATATATACATATATTATATATAATATATTATATAATATATATATATAATATATGTTCCAAGGTGTGGATGGAATTTAAGAAAGGGTTCATCTCAAAGTCTCATTTTAGTACCTTGCCTTAAGCTTCAAGCGGGGCTCCCAGTCCTCTTTATTCTCCCTTCAGTCAAAATGGACACTGGCTTTCCTTAAAGCTTCCATGAACACTCCAGTCCATATAGTTCACATGCCACAAACAGCTGTCTGCTATCATTGAAAGCTCTAAAAGATTCACCATCATTGCAAGTTCCCTCTCTATCCACCCTAGTCATCAAGTATCTCATTCCTTTAAGTTGTTAGAATATCACAGACTGGGTAGTATAAACAACCTGATTTTTCTTCAGGTCTGGCCAATTGCCTCCACTCCAGAATAAGAAAATATAGTCTGGCAGAATCTACTGTGGGAACAGGAGTCCTTTCTCATTATTTATCCCTTGGGAACAAAAGGCTAAAGGTCAGGCTTGCTTCTGCTTTGAAGGATGTTCTTCATTCAAGGAAACTTGATTTCCAAGAGGTCACTGGAGGAACTTTGGGAATATAGCCTGATTTACCCAGCTGTAAAAATGTGGATTTATGATCTAGTTGTTGCTGCTATTTCCCTGTGTTCTGAAATGTGGGGGAAAAGGGTCAGATTTGAGTGAGTGAGGAGAATTAGTTTCATTACATCCTTCTTCCATATGCAAAAAGAAGGTAAGAGAAACCATAACTGGTTACAATGGCAGCCCTCAGATTGAAGTATTCAGCTAACTCTATATAACCAGTTCTGGCTGAGCAGAACTTCAGGGACTACAATTTACTATACTTCATAGACATTTTGTCCACATTCTGAAGCTACTTCTCTGGCAGAAGTCTGACCCTCCTACTATGACTTACGTGTGAGCTTGGAAACTGGAGGAATATTTGCATACACTCTAACAGAATACTTCCTTCCTGTATCCACCTCAGGGATGAGTAACTGTTGTGTTACACCCATCTCATCTTCACCCAGAACTGGGTAAGTGTCCCTAATCTGAAAGTTTCTAAGGGAAATAGCACCCACCTGGAAATGGATGTGGTGGTCAGGAATACAGCTAGCTCTAAACTTTGACCCTTCAGAAGACTATACTTTCAATACACATATTAATACAGAGCAAGAGTTGGCTCCCACCACTCTCAAGTGAAGGTAAACTATAAAGCTATGAAAAAAGAGATAAATAATCTGTCTTAGAAAAATGATAAAACATAAAAAATGGTTGGGATATCAATGCCCCAACATTGAGAGATGTCAATTTATGTTCCACAGAGCAAGATAAGGAGAGAAAGTATCAAGCTACCATACAGAGGTTTAATTTAGATTAAATTTAATTGGAATGACTTCCAATAGTGAAAATGGGGAACTGAGTAGTCCAGGAAGATGGCAACACGATGCTTCAGAGAGCTTCAAAGGCAAATACATTTTTTAAAAGTTAGTTTGAAATGTTCCAGGTACAGTCCTGCCTGAACCAAGAATAGAGAAAGTGAGCTCCCTAAATAACCTGTGAACAGGATTTGTTTCTCTCTTGGATAGTTAGCCCTTGCAAAGCAGAACAAGTCTTTTAAAGAGGTCAGTCATTGTGCTTCAGCTTACTCAGTGCTGAAACTATGGAAGGGACAGTTGATAGGTCACCTCATACTCTAAATGTAATTGTTATAAACTTTAACATCAAGAGCAGTTTTGATTGGTCTAAATCTCTTTGAATATATAATTTTATTTAATATTACTATTCCTATGTGATAAGCAGGAGGAATTTTTCTGATGAAACCATAAGCTTAGGTAGGTTATTACACTTAATCTCCTAGAATCTTCTGATCCAAGTCAGATGCATTATCCATTCCACCACTGGCCCTGTGCTTACACTTAATTTCCAAATGCCCAGTGAGAGATTTTCCTGTGGTCCCCATGATTACCAGGGAATTATGTCTCCCAAAGTCAATGATATCCATTCCTAGTAGAGTATAATAACAATATCTGTAAACATGTTGAAGACCAGAGACAGAGTGCAAAGGATGGGATATTTCTTCCTTATGCATCCACAATCTCCTCTTATTTGGCACAGAAGCACAAAACCTTCAGATTTCTCTGCAACTTCAAAAGTGAAATCACGGTTTGACATTGGAGTCCAGTCATCAGGAACCCATTTCTACAACCATAGGACACAACTCTTCAACCAGTCAGCTAACTACCTTGGACCCTAACTCTACCCATCAAGGAAAAAAGTACTCTGCTTCTGTCAGGTGTTTCTTCCAGATAACCTTTCCTGCAAACTCTTGTCTACACTGCCTACCAAACTTTATCCAGGAGCCCAAGCCTCATAGATATTTACCCAACATGGCAGAGCAGCACCCTAGCAAGAAGATATCATGTAGGGCAGGAGGCAATGGGTTGAGAAGGTTGGGCAGGTGAAGCCAAGCTCAGAGTAGGTTCTTTTGGTCTCAGAGTGTATCAGATGTAAGTAGTTCTGTGTAAGAAGGATTGTTCAGGAATTAGGGAAAAACAGTTATGGGATAAAGAAGTGCAAAGATGGAGACTTTAAAAATACTAATAAACATGAAGCCAAAATTGCTTCTGGAAAGTCCTCTACCAACTTACATTACTTTTGGGACCTAATTCAGCACAGGAGTCTGATGGACTCCTGTGTTGGGGTCTTCAATGACACTGCATACTGTTCCTTTAGTAAGTAACTTTCCTGCGCCTGAGAATCATGTAACACCTAGCCCTACCCTAGAGAAGTAAATTGTCTCGGTTATTCACCCTCAACGGCCCCCTCTAGGGCTCATTGGGAATTCATTTCAAGACAGTCTGAGTTATAGGTGGTTGAGATAAACAGCTTCATCTCCATGAGACTTAGTATAATAACTCTATGTATTTTGTCCTGTTTCCCATACAAGTTCACAGAATACAGAAAATAATCCAATATTATGATAACAAGGTTACATCTTTCTAAAGGAACACTCACATTCACAAAACTGCAATCATCACTCAAAACCCAGTTTTGTTTCAGATATTAAGACAAGACATCTGTCTTTCTCATTAATAAAATATGGTGAGCAAGTGTAGGACAGCAAAGATCCTGAAGTGGGTACTGTTTAGAAAGGGTATGCTCTACAGCTAATGGATCTCTTTCTTCAGTGTGTGTCGGGTACTTTGGGCTGGAATCACAAAGGAGAAGCATCTTCCAAGAGCTGCTTTTACCTTTAGTACCATCTGCCTCATAAGCTACCTAGCAAGGAGGACATAAAATTCTTTTATTTCCCCCATCCATATGACATCTAGGGCCCAGCTTAGTTGCCTGAAAAAGGGAAACTATTAGACAAACATCATCACTTAACCAAGAAGAGGGAATGTGTCCATGGGCAGAGACGTCTGTATCTATGGCTGCAACTGGGCACATGGAAATCAGTTGAAACCCAGAACATCCAATTGCCAAGCAGAGAGCTCAGCAAATAAACAACTGTGGAAGTAAATGTGAAATGAAAAAATGTCCTTTTGTTTTTCATGGGTTGTGGTGGAATGTAGTGATAGAATTGCATTTGGTTCTCAGAATGGCACTATATGCTGTGAGAGGGCCTGGATTATAAAATTATAAACTCATTCTGAATTTATTACCTTTGTGAATCTCTGTTTCTTCTCCTGTAAAATAAATTTTCATTAGTATAAGTTACTGAAGTTTTCTTTCATTCCTAATAGGCTGTAATCTCAGTGCACCATTTCAACATAGTTATTTTGTCCTCTCTCTTGTGGAAAGGCCATCTAGTGCAAAAGCATTTCCTATAAGAAAGGGATATTTTGAATATTTGTCAAATAACTTTGTAATTGTAAACACTCATATTGCATAGCAAGAAGGGTAATTGCTATTGTCTAAACAAAATATGAACCAATGAGCATAATACTTTGACTAAACAACCCAGAATTTAATTCAAGGAGTGAGAATTGGTCACAGTACCAATAAAATAATAAACAAAGTACAGAAGGTAAATGTTCGATGTTTGTTGACTTGGAATTTGTTAAAATACAAATTCTAACTTAAGATTTTATGAAATTAATTTATAATTTTTACATAATGAGATATCATATTTAGTAGTACTGAACACAAACACTAGACAGAATGCTCCTTTTTCATGTTAATTTAACAGCATTAAAAATGCTGTCTCTGACTTTTTGTTTCTAAGACTAATTAAATATAAAATTTCAGACATTTTATAGAATTTCAAAAGATAGCACAATTTACCCAGAAGTATAAGGCAAAACTTTTCCAGAATCAGGATTTTAATGGAATTACCTTCAAAATTTTACTTCTCTAACTTGCAGATGCTGAAATTACATTGTATTATATTAAAAGGAAGAATCAATTAGTAGAATAGAAATGCATTACTGATCCAGGAAAAAGTTCAGCCTGTGTTAGGCAAAAACAAAACAAACAACAACAACAACAACAACAACAAAAAACACATTCCTTTTCATCACCATCATCCTGAAAGTAACATTTAGTAAGACCAGAAGAAAAAATGAGAGACACAAATAGGAAAGAAGAAAATTGTGTTTACAGATGATGTAATCATCTATGTAGAAAATTCAGAAGATTAGGACAAAAACTCATGTGAGTGTAAGCAAATATATCAAGGATGCAGATTATGAGCCTATCATACAGATTCAACTATTTTCAGATGTATCATCAGTGTAAAAATGTAATTGAAAATTAAAAATGATGTCACATATTAGCATTCTCAAAATGAAATATTTGAGCATAAATCTAATATGTCCAAGATACACAACTAATGAAATAAAAATAACTAAATAAATGGATAGATATTCTAGGAATACCCAATGTTGTAAAAATGTCAATAATAACCATGGAAAACCAGTTGGACTTTTTGTTAATCTCTAAAAATGATTTTTGGTACATTTTAGGTATATATGACAATCACATTCAGATTGGGTACTTGAACCTGTACATGATGTAACTTGTTTCTTTTCACATTCCCTTATCCTCTCTTCAACTCATCTCTTCCTTGTTTACAGCAGCTTCATCTCCAATTTTCCCTTTTTCCATTTTTTTTAAATTTTTCATCCATTTTCTCATCCCATCTCCTCCTCATTTGAGCACTTTCTTCCTATTTCACAATACCTTTTACACATTTTGGTCCTTATTTACACTTTAAGTTTCTCACAAACAGAGGAACTATTGATATTCACGTGTATCTGATGTATTTCACTTAAGAGTATGATCTCAAAGGGCATCCGTTTATCTAGAAGTGTCTCAAAATCATCCTTCTTTATGGCAGAAATAGTACTCCATAGTATAAAAAAACACATCTTTATCCATTCATCAGTTGATAGGCATTTGGGCTGTTTACAAAATTTAATCATTATAAACTGTGCTACTATAAATGCGTGTGCATATATTGCTGTGCTGGTTTGGTGATCACGAATTTCTTCAGGTCTTCCTTGTCATGCAAGTATCTTATTTCTCCATCAATTTTGAATAGAACATCAATATAGGTTGGAGGTGTTCTCTTTTAGGGCTTGTCATATTTCACTCCAAGCTCTCCTTGACCTGGGTATTTGTGTTGAAAAGTCAGCTGTAATTCTGATAAGCTTTCCTTTGAGGTGATTTGTTTCTTTTCTCTAACAGTTTGTAGCAGTTCTTGTATTAAATTCTGTAATCTTAACTATTGTATGCTATAGGTTTGTATGCTATATATAAATGAAGTTCTATATGACTATATCAAATTATTTTACCCTGCTAGCAAAATTTTGTCATGACATCTGCAAACAGATTTTTTAAGGTCATTTGTGATGTCTCCTGCTTTTTCATCAAGTCCAATTAATATTGTTATTCTTGGCTTCATCTAGTAGCTACCAAATTGATTTTTCATGGTTCCTTGCTATTTTTAGTGACTTACTTTCTTTTCGTGACTACTAATTGTAATCCTGTCTTACATCTGAGATTCTGTCATCACATTGACTCATTCTGCTGCATATACTTTCAATGGAATTTTTAATCTCCTGATATCTATTTGAATTTGTTTTAAGGAATCCATTTCTTAAGTTGAGCAGTCATGGTTTCCATCATTTTCCTAAGCTCTTCTATTTTTTATCTGTATCTGCTCTAAAAGTCATTGTGGTCACCATCTCTGTTGTTACCTGGGAAATTATTTCTGATTTGATTACTTTTCTACAGCTTCATTCATTTGCCTTGTTACATCCACTGTTACAACTTTGGTGGCTTTTTTATTGTCCCATCTGATTGATCCGTGGGTTTGCCTTGGATGAGTTACACATCTAAGGTTGCATCTTGTTTGTCATCTCATTTTTTTTCTTTTTTTAGTTTAATTCATGAGTTAATGTTTGTAAATTGCCTATGGTGAGTTGTTTTATTGCTAGTACTTATAACCCGGAGGAAATGACTACTTCTCAGAAGTGTCTTCCAGTTAGAGCTGGCTTTTGGGTTTTGAGTCCTTTTCCTATCTCTTCAATTTATTGGAGATGAGCAACTGCTGCTTACTGAGCTCAGTTCCTAGTTGTTTTGCATTGGCCCACAGTATTTTCTATGACCCTTAGGCAATCTCAATCTTGGCATATCAGGAAGAACAGTTGGTTGGAACAATTGTGTTACTTGGGCTAAGCGGTACATTTCACCAATAATAGTAGCATCAAATAGCCTATAAAATGAAAAACTGAGGTAACTATTAATTTCCCATCTTTAACCATATGAACTTGTGATTATATAACAAAAGCAAAAACAAACCAGATGGCACTTTTACCCTCAGGGCAGAAAAATTAAGAGGTTAGGAGAAAAAAAAAATAGGGAAATAGATGACGAAAAGATTGCCAGCAAAGCTGATAAAGAAGGATCATGTAAATCTTGGGGAATTGGTGCAGAAGACAGGAGGAAAAGATATGGAAGAGATAGAACAACCACAAAAAAAACTAGAAACCATGTTCATACTTACATAAAAGGTATATAGGACAAACAATGAAGAATAAATTAAAAAAGAAAAGAGAGAAAGAAATAAGAAAGAAAAAATTTCCACCCCAAAATGTGTCTCTGCTGTCACTGGTAGACAACTTGGGGAGACCAGATCCAGACCCATATTGATTAATGCCAGCAACTCAGCAGTAGCTTGACAGCACAATAGTGAATAATCACAATGAGCTTGCATCTTTATTTCTCCTGAAGTTCAACCTGGTTTATGACCATGAGACTAGAACCAGATCTGTTCAGCATGCAGCAGTCCAGCATGCAGATTCTGTAGGCTTGGGCTCTGCTGGGGGTTACTAGATGGAGCCAGTAGTTGTTATGAGTGCCAGCCTCCGTTGGCCTCACTCTAAGATGGCTCCCTGCCAATTGCCCTCCCTTTGAGGGGTGTCCACACCACTCAGCATGAGCCACTGCAATCCTCTGTATCCCCTGCTCTATTCCACTTGTGCCTCTTTCTATGGAGGTATCTGGGGTTGCCAGCAGTCTCAGTATGAACTGCGTCTCCCATGCAGTTAGTCCCATCTTAGGCACGACCCACCTTTCTTTGTTGAAGTGTCTCTCTTTGCTCTCCCTGTGGCTTCAGTTCTCACTCCTGATCCTTCCTGAGTCCAGGGTACCACTTCCCTCTTCCTTCTTTTCCTTACATGGCTATATTCCAAGAGGCTCTCTGGGGCTTACCACTTCACCATCTCGCTGGAAATCCCTTAGTGGATTTTTTTGACCAAGGTGCTGTGGTTAGTGGTTCTGATACATGAACTTGACTTGAGTAAGAACTTCCTAGATTAGTAA